ACGGGGGGGGGTTCTCTCTGTCTCATACCTTGCTGCATATGGAGTTTAAGGCTTCAACCATCAATTAAAGCCAGTGTGACGGTATTTACGATCAAGGCCCAAGCTAAGGCCTCTATATAGTGACATATACAGTTGTCTGCACTTCCAACTATATACAATGTATGCACAGGATTTGGGGTCTAGCTCCCTGTAAAATGTTTATGACTTTTAAAATTAATCCTAAGACAATTTTATTTTAGGAATGTTTTGAAAATAACACCCACTTTTGGACTGAAAAACAAAACACTTACGCTGTCGTACAGAAATACTGAAATTGAGGGGTTGATTTTTAGAATGGAACAACCAGTCACTTGAAACTCAGAAAGGAAGCTTTATGTTTCCATTTTGCTTTGAACAAATAAAATAAATCAAAATAAACCAGATATAACGAAGCAAGCTCTGACTTTTCAACCACATTTACTGCCAAACTAACAAATTCCATGCAATGTGGAGAATCATGGAGCTGCGGAGTCCATGAAGGAATGGACATTAATTCGAGTTTCGCTCTTATAGGATATAAGACCCAGGAAAAATAGGTTAGAAAAATATTTGGAGATTATGTACATTAATCTTGTAGGCAAAGCTAAGATCATTAGTGAAATATCTACAGATTACGGATTTTTTAACATATAAATGCAATATGAATGAGACATAAGCAATAACTAAACATGCTAATCAATGAATTAGTGCTTACAGCATTGGGAACATTTTTAATTATGTACAATATCTGGACGATACGATCTCGTATCGGCCATATTGACAACAATGAAAGGAAAAACAAGGGGAAAAAACACTAATTATCGCTAATACCAAACTTTACGGTGTGTTGAAAGCGGTATGGCAAGCCACGCTGACTTCCCTTTTTGGTTTCAAATGAGCGTCCTTATGTAAGGGCAAAACTTTATTATTTTATAATATACAGTGTATTTTATTGATGACCTATGTTAAATAGACCGATTCCATCCTCTACCTCCTTTTCCTACTTGAGCCCAGCGAACAGTAAACCTCCGGGTTTTTTTTCAACAGGGTAAAAAAGTTGACAAATGTCAAAAAAACATCAACTGCATTTTCAGTTGATGTGCAGGGCAAAAGTTATCCACCCTGTTTGCATTTACTCAAACCTACTCTCATTATCACGGGACCTGGCGTAGAGATTCATGATCCTTTATTCCTTCCGGGTTTTAACGAATATGTTTTATTGTCCCTGTGGTAACCCTTGGAATACGTGTAATTGAGGATGTCATTCTCAATCTACAGATATTGACTGCTGTTTCCGTTTATAACCCAATATTCATGTGGTCCATTTTCTCGAAGGTGGCTCACTAGTATTCTTTTATTCTTTTTTGAGGACGTAGTCACACATTCAAAGGCAACGTGTGTGTGTGTTTTGGACTTATACGTATCAGCTAAACCTAACAATGTAAACCTGGTATTGTAAACCCGGTACAGTTTTGCCACAGTCTGAAAACTATCTGACAATAGTATTAAGTGCTACCTTTGGGAAAAATATTTTTGCCACTAATATAGCTGGGATATTTCTTAGATTTTACAACCCATAGTACCTTATTGTTTTGTTTCGTTAGGCACTTTGTGTGTTGTAGAAGGTATTAAAACAACACATAACTTGATCTATAGTAAAGATTGCGGTAACACCATGTATTTATCTCTTCTTTGAGTATGTGTGGTTCTGGGAAGAACCGGGGAATAACTACA